TGAAAGGCAGTGTTAGCGCTAAGATTTTCTGAGAGTAGAAGGACTGCAATTGGAGGGATGTTAATATTATGCAGAAAGGAAGACAAAGCTAGACAGTGCCCTAGTTTTAACTGCATCATGTGGAAAATATAGGATTGTTTTCCTGGTAGTGTTTATCTTCGTCAGTGTAGCTCTTCAGAAAGGTGTCATGGACCTAGTATTTAGATAGAAAAGGATGTGCTAACTTCATGTTGCTCCATAGCAGACTTTGAAGCTGTTCAAAGCAGCAGCAAGAATGTTTGCTGCAGGCGTGGGGGGAAGTCCTTCATTTTTTGCCACAAAGGTAAATTGCTTTAACACAAATCTCAAGCTGAGCATCGTAGACCTACATTCTGAAACTTTGAATCCAGAGGTATAGACCTTAGACATATACTTAGACATATATTTGTTTGTAATGCACTCATTGTCAAAGCCACATGGGAGTTTCAATGTATTAAAATGCTAGATTTCTGACATGACTTTCAGAAGTGGGGAAAAATGCAGTAGTGCTAATAACTTCTCATCCCCTTTATTTTCCACAGCAAGAACTTATTGACAGCATTAGTAGGAAGCTGCAGGTGCTGAGGGAAGCACGGGAGACACTTCTGGAAGACATCCAAGCAAACAATATACTAGGGGAGGAGGTAGAGGCCATTGTGAAAGAAGTCTGCAAACCAAATGAGTTCGACAAATTCAAGATGTTTATCGGCGACCTTGACAAAGTGGTCAATCTCCTGTTGTCACTATCGGGTCGTCTGGCCCGGGTGGAAAATGCCCTTAATAACCTGGATGAAAATACCTCTCCGGAAGAACGGGTGAGAAAGGCCAATAGTAATATCACTGCATTTAGTGAACCTGGTGTGGGGTTTTTTCCTTGGTTTTGTTTATCTAAATTGCAGAGCTCAAAATGAGGGATAGTGAATCTCATATGGCCATTTTCTGTAGATTTCTTAAAACTTTTTGCCTTGCTCTTGCTTGGAATACTAAAATTACAAGTGGCTTGATGAGAAAAAGTGGTGTTTTGGGGTGCAGCATACTGGAAGACAGACTTCTTAGCAAAACTTTAAATGAAGAGGGGAACTACTGATAAGAGAGTAAAAAGGAGGCAGACAAATATTCTAATAATTCAAGATGGGAAAAGGAGTGTCACTTTGTGCTGTAATGCAGAAAGCTTACAGGCTTCTTTATACTCAATCAGGATCTTGATAAAAATCTATAAGGTTGTTAAAAATAAAATGTTTCTTATCTACTACAGCTTCCTCCTCAATGCCTGGAAAGGAACAAGAGCAAGAAGTGACAGAAAGACAAGACTTGACTTATAAAAAGAAGAGGTGGGGGGAAGGCAGGAGGGAGGCATTGCAAAAATACTTTTTCAATAGAAAACCTGTTTTACCCAACCAGAATAGCCCAGTAGTGGTGTGGAGGAATCCCAGCAGATGTGAAAATTTCATGAACGTTCACTTACCTGTTGGACCCCGTCTCTGCTGGCAGCACTTTGTTTAGCTCCAGATCCCCTCAGGCCTTAGCTAGGAAGCAGATATCTAGTGATACAGATACGCACCAAAGGAGAGATGTAGACATGTGTGAAACTTAAAGGCTAAAATAAATAAATAGAGAGGGTGGGGGTGGGTATGTGTCAAGTGAGTTTAGCTTCTACAGTTAAATGAATGTGAAGTGGGATTTTTGGCTCGTAGCTGTGGGCTGCTTGTAGCTGCCAGCCATCCATCTAAGTGTTGTAACAGAATTTTTTCCACAGGCTGTGGATTCATGTTGTGTTTCTTCAGCGTGCTCCGTTGTTTCACCAATGAGAATCAGCAAGTGCTGCGACTAGTTTGAAGCTGTGTTTTTGCTATTTGGCCCTAGCTGCTGCCAAACATACTTGTTTAATGGCTGTCCAGACCCTTTTCTGACTGAGGCAAAGGGAAGGTATTTGACAGCTTATTAGAGGGTAGATCAAAGCTTCTGAAAATTAAAGAAATGTAATCCTTCTTTAGACTTCTTTTTTCTAAATGTGGTTGCAGTTGCCTAATGGGCTCAAAGACGAGAGTGTGAACTAAGGAAAGAGCTACCAGATGATACGAGCATATAGGAAACACAGTTTGAGAGCAGTGATAAAAATAGCTTATTGGCTAGGTGTGGAAAAGGAAGGTGAGTAGGTGGTGTAGTAAGGGCAGTCAGAAATTGTCTGTGTGCTCTGCTGTCAAATTTAGACTGACAGAAATCCAAATCCCTAACACACTCTAATCCCCATTCATCTTCTCATGTACTGACACCAAAGTCTTGCCATAGTAATGTCAGAAATGTATCTTAAAGTGTTGGTCAGAGATGCTTCTCAGATGGATCAAGTCCCCAAGTACTTTGACTATAAATACAATGCATGTAGGGTTACAAATGCATATCTTTGAATTTAGACTGGTGCATGTGGCTTTTTTGGTTGTCCTTTGGTGTTTTGTAGGTCACATGATGATGATATTTGGTGTACTACAATTTACTGTATAAACAAAACAGGGGAGATTACGTGCCTCGCTGGGGATCATAACCCTAGTGATCGCTGCTTATTATAATTTTTTTTTTTATTATTATTTTAATTTTTTTTTTTTAAGCTGATGTCTAATAAACATTACTCTGATAGTTTTGCACTTTCTAGGAACCACCAACAGCTCAGCAGACTTTCTGAATAAACAGTCCGTCAGCAGGCACATAATCACTGGTGAATTAATATTCTGTTAGATGCTCTATCATGGGTCTCTTTTGCCACAAGGAACACTATCAGGCATTTCAACTTGAGCTTCTGAAAGGTGTTTTATCTGAAATAGCTACCAGCCCCCTTCCTTCCACACAGGGAGACCAGTGTCTTCTCATTACTTTGCTTATCAGTCAAAGACAGAGTGTGCTGAGAACCCTATAGCACTGAACCAGCAGTCCACAGATGTGATCAGGTGCCTAGTTAACCAGGTAAGACCCGGTTTTACAAGACAAGGGACAAGTGTCAGAGATAGTAATTTACTGGATGCTGGGAAATCAAATACATGGGGGGAGTCCTCCTTCATAGGGCTGTGGTTCAGAACTGTTCCATCAGATAGCTTGTGTTTGGCTGGGGCTTCAGATCACTGCTAACTGCAAAAAACCCTTCTGCACTCTGCTTGGCTTTGGTTGAAGTCAGTCAGATGAAACCATCTGACATCATTTATGCCTGTAGGCCTGGTGAGCCATTTACCCATTGCTAGGAAAACCTGCGCAAGATTGGTGTCTTGAGCCTGTTACAGTGTGTTTCACTTTACCCTTCAAAACAGGCTTTCTAGTGTCAGTTGTCTTTGACAGAGGTAAAAGCAAATTCAAGAGGTTTCTCATTTGCCTTCTGACCTTTATGTATCCCATTTATCTTGGCTATTTCCTAAAACTCCACAAGGGCTGAGGTACTAAGGTGTCATGCAAAGTTCATAACAAAAGTAGTGTTTATCCTTAAACTGTCAGTTTACTCATGTTCATCTTAGTCATGCCATAGGCTTGGTAAGAAGAAAGCATACAACTTAAAAGTCAGGAATTGTTATGAAGGACTAAGCATTTGATTGTTCTTGTGTCTGTTGACAATGATAGCAAATGGCTTGAAAAACAGAGCTATTTCTTCCTAAGGTTATGTGGGTAACTCTGCAACTGACCTACCAGCTGTTTGATACGTGCCCTCTTGGTTTCACCAAATTCTAATTCTTCCTCTGCTTCTCAGTGTACACACAAGCTGCAAGGCTGCCCTGGGGAGCAGTGTAACCATGCTGCCAAGTTTGGACGTGGCTGCTGGTTCCCCTGGTGAATTTAGGAGAACAGTGCTTACATCTCTTTGCAGCAGATAGTTCTGCTTGCTACTTGCAGTGGGATTTTTTTCCCTGGCAGACGCTCAAAGGAAGACTGAACTGTGGTTTTTCTAATAATGTGTGATTGAATCTTGAGTTAATCTAGGCTGTATATTTTAGGTACGTTGAGAGCGCAAGTCTGAAAGTGTTTCAGCCTCTGAGCTTTGTGCTGTCTATAGGAAAAGAGGCAGCACAGGGTTCATGTGCAACTCTGACAGATAGGTCTACTAAAGCTTGCTGGTCTGTATTGCCCTTTGTCTCACTCTTCCATCTTGAAAGTACTCTAGATAAACACTTTTCTGTAAATCCTTTAGGCTTATTACAGCATGTGTGATTTAACATAAAGTCCAAATGAAGAAGAGAGACACATTTATTTAAACAGACTGTGGTTTATTTGAAGACATAGGTTCTCAAAGAAAATTAACCTCTGAAGCATAGCTAACAGTTACGGAATGGTACCTCTTAGGGGCCCTTTTTAATTAAGTTCAGAAGTCTGCATGGGAATTCTTGATGTCAGAGTAGGCCAGCCATACTCTGTCACTGGAAAAAGGCAATCAGTTTTAGGCAGACTTCTGAAATAGGTCAGATTAATATTGCTCTTGTTGCTTTCCATATACTGGTAAAGGAGTGTGCCTGACTGATTCAGGTGTGGCTGCCTACTATGTAGACAGGTGAGGTTGGGTGAGATGTACCTCACCCTTTATGCTCGTACGTATGTCCGAGTGGGACATAGTTCCTGTCCTCTTTCTTGGTGTGTTTATTCATTCAACCTCCCTTTTTCCTATTTTGTCTCTTGTGAGGGCATGACACAGAAAGTTTACAGCCTTTTGGGGAAGATTATGTTGTTTTTTTTTTTACCTCCCTTCTGTTGTCTTACCCCAGCTCTTGCTTGTATTTTAAGACCGCACGACTTCACATCTCATGGAGAAGCCATGCAGATTGCAGCAGAACTGCAAAATACCACAGTGTCAGGAGCTGTGTATGAACAAATCATTCCATTAATTAGTCTGTTTGTGGGTTCTCGAACCACAGCTGTTTCAGTGTGGAAGTTTGGTGCTGTGTACTGAAGATGTAAGTTATTGCTCAGTGAAGTCTTAATTTGGAGAACTTGGATGTTTCTCAAAGCCAACTGTATTTTCTGTAACTATTTTGAACTATTAAATAGTAAAGTAGTCTTTGAAGTTCTTGCTGTTGAGGCCAGTAGAAGTTAATGGTCCATCTTTCATTGATTCCCTACGCTTTTTTCCTGTTTGTTAATGCATTTTATTAGACTACACTTTAAGGAGTGATCTTATTCCACCTCTCTTAAGTATTCAGGAAAGTCTTTGTCTTTGCAGATAAAAAAAGACTTGAAACTTAAACACTGAAGCTGTTGTCCCAGCCTGATGAATCCAGTGAATTTTTAACTGTGTTTCTTTTCTCCTAAGCGGACGTTGGTAGAGAAGCAGAAGCTGCTGACCCAGCAACATGAAGATGCAAAAGAACTGAAGGAAAACCTGGACCGTCGAGAGCGCATTGTCTTCGACATTTTGGCAAATTACTTGAGTGAGGAGAACTTAGCAGACTATGAGCACTTTGTAAAAATGAAGTCAGCCCTCATCATTGAGCAGCGAGAGCTTGAGGACAAGATCAAGCTGGGGGAAGAGCAACTGAAGTGTCTGACCGATAGCCTCCAACCTGAACGGCTCAAATAAGAGGACTGGGTTCAACCAAGGATGTGAAAAACAGGAAAGAAGGAAGGGATGGGGAGTTTCCAAGTATACAAATGAGTATCTTGGCTTGTCTGAGTGTCCAGTAGAGAAACAAGTGCACAAGAGAAAAATAGCTCTCACAACAGCAATAATGCTCTCTTTCATTTTTTTTGCGATGATGTATTTAATTTTTTAGAACACATTTTTACTGCTGGACTCTACAGCTGTTTCTCATTGCTTAACTTACAGACAGCTCCACAGAAAAGGATAGACTCTTAACCTTTCTGCTCAGTAAGTTGAAAGTCTGTGGCGGTTGTGCATGCAAACAACAATGTTTTTTAGAATAGGTTGTATACTTCCTTTATGTTCAGATGCTGTACAGACTGCTGGGAAACCCAACAGCAATTTATGAATGCACACAAATTTAGAAGCTCTAAATTTAGTGGCTTTTTATTTTTTTTAAAGACACATTAAATAGGGGAAGCATGCATCTTACAGCTAATATATTCAGATTGCTGAAATGTAGTGTCACTCTGATCCTGTGGCATCAGACACTTTTTTGTAATATTGTATATAGGATGGCACTTTCCCCTTGCAGAAAATAATTTTACAGTCAGTCTCAGTTAAACACTACTTAAACCAGCTTGCAAATCACCTAATGGCTACCTTGCTGAAGACTTCTTTTTTAAATTATTTTGCAAGACATAGTTGTACACCTTCTTACTGCAATGCAAGCGATTTTCTTCACTAAGTTGTACTCCATTTAAGAAACAGGCTGGAAGTACTGTGCAGATTTTGTTCAAAACATTTCTCATCTAAATTATTTAGAAAGCTCATTTGCTCTTTCTTGTGCTTTTTATGCATGTTTTAATTCTTCCTCCCCCAAAACTGCTACACTTTATGAAAATAAATGTTGGCGAAGGATTCTGCTTCTATATTTCGTCTGATTGTTCAACATTGTGACGGTTTTATATAGACAGTTCAGTTATACTGCAGTTGACCTACATAATATTCTTCATTCTTTCCTCTTTCTCAGACTACCAAATGCAATATAAACAACTTCTACCATGTAAATACTGTGCATTACTTGGAGCAACTCTGTTTTGTAACTGTGAACTTAGGTGGGTTTTGTTTGGTTTTTCCCATTGCACAATGATAAATAAGAGGATGCTAGTTCACGGTATCAGATTACTGGTTGTGCTCTAGTAATACTGCCATTGACTTACAACAGATGATTTCCAGTAGCTGTAAAAAGAGGTGCTAACTCATGTTTTAGCGCAGTAATGGGTTTTGTTGACTCGCTAAGACATCTACAGAGAAATTCTGTAGTGTCTAAATGTCAAGTTCTATGTTAAGATAAAGTTTTGCAGGCAAAGGAAAGTCTTGGATGACTTTGTGTATATGCCATTTACATTGTAGTACGGAAAACATTTATCTCTGTAGACAAACAGCTTGCCCAACAAGAAGCCATTTTTGAGGCAGATGTGAATGCCAGTCTGTAGCTAAGCAGGTTGAATATACAAGTAGTTAGGTGTTGAAAAGAGAAAAAAAATAATTCTTCCCACTGTTCCTGCAGTGTCAGCATTCACAAAAGGTTTTCTGTCCTTCTTACCTGAATCCTCCCTTTTGCGGCAAGAGAACCGGAGAGGTGCTGATCAGTGAATTTCTTGCGTGTTGGGGAACTGGGGAGCAAAAATCTTCTGGAACCAGTTACTTTTACAGACAGATGCAAACGTTGAATGCCCCCCTTATAGTGCACTACTTTGCATACCTGGACCAAATCTTTAATGAAATTACATTGATGTGTATCAGCTGAGGTCAAATGGAGCTACCATTTTACAAGACCTACAGTTGACCTTAGTTTCTTCCTCCTAGTTCAGAAATGTAGTCTCTGGCATCTCACAGTTATTTGCTGCTATGTTCCTAGGACAAGTGATCCCTTTGTCCTTAAACTTATCCCTTAACCATAACAAACCCAAAACTAAACAATTCCCAAATAAATTATGCTTGTCTTTTAGCTTGGAGAAAAGTGTGCGTTGTTTTATCTGTGGCATTTTAAAAATTTTACATATTGTGGTTACTCTGAAATGTGTATGTGAAATGTGAATAATAATATAATTACAATGTGTTTGTATACAATACTTTGATTTAGATCTTTCTGATAAAAGGTAGCAATATTGTGAATGCTATATATATTATCCTTTTCACAGAACAGTTGCGTAGACACCGTTCCCTCCTTTCCTTTTTTAAAACAATGTTGAAAATCTCTCACCCTCGGAACCTGAAGATGGTTGCCTCCCAATGCTATATGTAAATCTGTAAATAGCTGTACTGTTGCTTTTTGAAAAAATCTGGTGCTAATGTTTTGCCTTTGGCATCCTGGGGATGGCTGTTTCTTCACCTTATGTTGTTCTCAATTCTAGATCTCTTTGTATAGTGAAAGATACCCACTATGTTTCTCCAACTGTTTGGATCCTGCAGCCCAGAGTGGAAAATGTACAGTTTTCCTGCCTGACACCTAACACTTGCCTACTGACAAATGGTATTGCTTGACTTTGAGAAAATAAACTGTATATTTCAATGTAGAGTTCGTTTTTGTGTGCAGTTTTAACTGTCAAAACCCACTGTTTTGCTGTGCAGCGTTACCCATCTCATGGTGCCTATCAACAGTGCCTGTAGCTTTTAAAGGCCAGGGCAGTTATCTGATGGTCTGAAGTAGCGTGCTGTCTTTTCACAGATTATTTAACATGTTGCCTTGACCGATCATTCTCAAGTTCTTAGTGTAAGTACCAGAAATGTGTTCATGTCTCTTTAGTATTTTAAATTGTGTGAGTGTGAGGGGGCAGAAAGGAAGATGCATTATGAGGTGGATAAAATAAATCAGTCTGACTCGACTTACGGAGTACATACCAGGGGAAGAGTTAAGATTTTTCTGCTTGGGCAATTACACTGTTTTGGCTCATCTGAAGTCAGTGGTTCTTGAGATTTTTCTTTTTTTCAAGAACAAATCACTGTGAATTCTCCATCTCTAACAGACTGCCACAGAAATGGTTTAGTTTCAATTTAATGGAGGTTCTCAGATTAACTGCAGAATCTTATTGGGAAACATTGTCAAGTGTGCACAGATTTGTTCTAGAGGTGACCACAGGTAGTGTTTTATGGCTTGATAAATCATCCTGGAAATTAATTGTCTGTGAAGGTCTTTGTTGTAGAAACTATCTGGAAAAAGGAAGTTAGGGAAGGAAAAGTACTGGGGTATTTGTAGGATTTTTCTAAACTTCTAACAATGCTTTTAACCCCCTTCTTTTCTCCCTCTGCATGTACATGCACCCATCTCCTTATGCCTGCTTTTCTGGGCACTTGGTATAGTCCCGGGTGGCAGCTATAGGGGAATAGCAGTCTAATTTTTGTGTACTGTTTGAATTGGAAAAAATTGCTTTTTTTTAAAACTGAAATTAGGTTCTTTATTGTCAGTTTTGGGGTATTTGAGACCCTCAGATTTCAAAGGAGTCACCATTTCAGGGTGTTCTTTCCTAATCAAGCTCTATTGATTAATTCTGCAGTACTTAATTGTCTCTGTTTTTACAGCTGAAGTGATCTGTTGGCAACCCGGTAGCTAGCAAGGCGTTGTGACGGCTGCGCAGTACAATATCACTGCCTGTTTTAATGGCATCCAGTCATTTATTGCAGAAGTTCATAGGTTTGTTCTAACTAAGGGCTTCTCAGTGGCGGGGGGGGGGGGGGGGGGATTGTTTTTTCAACATACTTGGGCAGAACCTGCCCACAGAGTAGATGTTATAAAAGTTAATAATTAAATCTTAAAAGTGCTGGACTATATATTGTCAATTGTCAGCAGTGGTAAATTGGACATCACATTCACTTGCTGCAGTTCCAGTCTATAACTTAACTAATTATAATGATCCACAGATTGTACGATGGGTTACCCATGTGGCTTAGCAGTTCACCTCATGAACTCCTGGGTTTCATTCTCCCCACCTACTGTTTTGATAATGTTTCTATGAATAAAATTGTTCCATTTGAAGTAGGTTAACTTAACTGTAATTTAATACACCTCAGGAGAAAAATCTGAACTGAAGTAAATTCAATGTACTTCAAACAGCAGAAAGTAATTTCTGTCCCAGACCACAACAGCACACTTACAAGGACCTTTTTCTCACTTGTAGCCATGTGGGCAGGTACTTCACGTGGCTGTTGTTTAGCTTAGGCTAAGAGTTTTATTTCAGTCAAAGCAGTTGAGCCTTTCCTGAGAACAAGGCTAGTAAAATGCCTTTTTTTTTTTTTTTTTAATCCTGTGTTAAAGATTCTCACAGCAGCTTCATTTTTAGGTGCTCTGATATGTCTGTCTTGGAGGCAGTCTCCTAAATTTGGCAGGGGGAGATGGCCTTGTGACTAGGCTGTGCCTTCCGCTACTGCCAAACGTGTCGGTATTAGTGGAGCCTGTTGCTACAAACCTAATTCTCACTTCCTCTAGTTCTTCTGGATGCAGCAAACTGCTGGCTGGTAAGGTTAACAAGAAGCCTGTCCGCTAACTGCCATTACTTGTTGCCTGCTGGTGCTTTCGAATTGCCCGGTGCTGGCTGCTGCTGTGGCTGGGAGACCGAGAATGTCTGGAGTGCTCACGCGGCGGTTTTGGGCATCTCTTCTGGGGTGAAGCAGGACGAGGAATTCCGTGCATCTCCCGCTCACGAGGTGTGAGTTAACCCAAAATACAATAGTACCGCTAGAGAAGAACCAGGTTCCCACCATGTATCCGCTTCTACTGAAATATTTGTATTTGCTATTTGTGATTGCCTGTCTTGATGTGGAAGAAAACTTAATTAAAGCCAATAGATTTGTGACAGGGGAGCTGAAGATTTACAAGGTGTTGAAAGATACAGAAGAATAATCCTACTTATTTTCGGAAACGTAAGTCTCCAGCAAAATGGTATCTAAATGAAGCCTGCATGCCACAAGTCCCAGGTGAGAGTACTCGAGAATTCTAGATCTGCGCTCACAGAGTTAGTGAAAGGCAGGCGTTTCTTAAGCATATACTACGTTGCAACTATGTTAACTCGATTTTATGCATTCCAAGCAACTTTCGTCAGAGGAGCCAATGTTGGCTCTGGAAGAGCCGTGGTCTGAGGTGCACTACCAAGCGTTGTTAGTTTGCCGCGCTTCCTTGCGACAGCATCGTTTGCTAGCCTCCTGATGGGGAGCGCCTTCCCTACACCATCAAAAGAGATGTGTC